TGAAGGACATTCTAGAAAAAGAGAAAAATGACCATAGTTTCAGGAACAGTGGCAGAGGGGGCTCACTGAATGGGGAAGACAATGGAATGAAGGGAAAAGTAGACATCCAATGGCAGAAAAGTAGCATCGTAGAGATGAAGCAGAGACAATTGGCCATATTCACTAATATGGATGGCCTCAATACACTAATAAAGAGAAACACAGGCAGAGTGGATCAGTAGATACAGTACATTGAGATGTTCTATATAAAAATATAATTAACCTGAAAGAGAGTTTATAGACTAAAAGTCAAAGATGAGAAAATAATGCTCTATGTGACAGGGAAGCAGAAAAAACTGAAGGTAGCTTGCCCATCAACTACAGATTGGTTGGAAAGATATGACACTTAAATACAAAGAAGAACTACTCAGCTATAAGGAAGGAAAACCTTGAGGCTCTTGTAGGTTAATGAATAAATTTAAGATCATGTTCAGGGTAAAAAGGTTCAGAATCACTTACATATACAGCAGATTGCCTCCCTAATCTAAAAACTAAAGGAGTTAGTAGGATACAAATCGTATAATGCACTGTGTGCAAGTGAAAGGGGAAGAATTGTCTAAAATGGGAAGGCAGTGGCCATTGCTAATATTGTATCATGATTTGAAACCCATATTGTTTTCATGCTCTGTTTAGTTTGGTTATATTCTGTTCCAATTTGTCTACTTATATCTAGATTTGATGGCATGGATAGCTATTCCAAAGATAGCAGTATATACTATGGCAACTATTTTTGATTTCCTATTAACTTAATTACTTTCACTGTCTTGTTTTGACTCATTTTATTTGAATCTATTATGTTTGAAAGTATCAAGTCTGAGGGTAAAGACAACTACTTTGAAGACAGTAAGATTCACTATGATATCCATTCTGGTTTGGTCATTATTTTTTATTAATTTGTTACATACTATTTTGTTCAATTTTATTTTGCCTGATGATATGGGCAATTTCTCTTGAAGCTAACAAGAGGCATTATGTTAACCACTTTTTATCACCTTATATTTGGTTTTAAGTCATGTACTATGTCCATCCTTTTGCTTTATAGACTCCATTTTGTTTTGTCTCATTCAGTTTTATTCTCTTCAAAATAAAATTTTAAAAAATAATCTGAATTTGTATTTATTTATTTGCTTTTTTAAACACAGGGTCTCTCTATATAATCTATTCTGAAATTGAACTCTCTAGCCTCTCGCTTCAGCCCTTGAGTACTGGGATTATAGGTATTCACCACTGTCCCAGGATTTTAATTTTTATTTTTGGAATAGAAATTTTATTTTTATGATAAAAGATATTAATTCCATCTGCTAAGGTTTATTGCAGTTACTCTGCTTAAAGGACAGGGTAAAGTGACCTTTGAAATATGAGTTTGTTTCCAAGCATCAGGGATGGAAAAGGATTGTAGGATGAATAGAAAGAGTTTTCATAGATACTGGAGCAAAATGAATTGCAAACTGTTCAGTAAGACTAAACACTTCAAACATTTCAGTATGGAACATGGCAAGGCCTGGGAAGCCTCGCTGAGTAATGAAGCTATAGAACTGAAAAGGGCCCACGTCTAAAAGAGCCTTTCATGTTCTGAGAGGCTTTGTATGTTCTTCCAATGAACTTAGTCAGATTCAGAAAAAAATAGTGCATTTGTGAGCAATTTTAAATAGGAGATAATTAAAGAGCAGCTCATATACTAGAAAATAGTTTGATAACAACATAAATGAAGCTAGACAAAACTGGCTCATCTTCAGAAATCTACATGAAAGCTCAACAACTCTAGAAAGAAAATAATGGTAGGCGAGATTAAAAGAGGATTATTCGAAGTGTAATCCAAAGGGTAAGGTAGCTAAGCTAAGACTGTGGAATATATTAATATAGGATGTTTTCTTTTTTTGTCAAATGGCAGGTATATTGCATGGGGGCAAGTCACAGATGTACAGGATACACTTTCGGAAACCAAAGTTTGAAAAACAAGCTGCTATTACACCATAGAAATGAAGTAGGATTATAAAACATTAACTGTAGGAGAATTGACTCATTTTTGTTTTCTAAACTTCTACATTTTCTACATATGTATTTCAATCACATTTCAATTACTGATATGCTATCTGGAAACAAGACTTATTACATGCATGAGTAAACATAAATATTCGCTAGTTATCATTAAAATCTATCTCTCTTTTTTTAGACATATGTGCAACATATCTATTTTATGCCATTGTTACTTTTTATGCATTTTTTTGTTCTAGTGCTGAAGTTGTTTTGGAGTTCCTTTTAAATACCATGAGCATTTTCTTTTACTCATGAATAATGTTAGGCAAGGATTTATGATGGTTGCAAAATGCAACCAAAGAATAATCTAAGTCTATCATTATGATAAAATTACAGCTGTAGAGAAGTGGAACCTAAACTTAAAAGATCACAAGGAAAAGAATTCTTAGCTCTTTCTAAACCAAATCTTGTAAAGTCTCCAGTACTTCTGAAAACATAGCTATTACCAGTGGGAAAGCATTTAACTAAGAAATCAACATTCCTTTGACTCATTTAGTGGTCTATTATCCCTGTGTCTTTTTTTATTCTTATTAGAGCATGATGATTCCTCAGAAAGTTCAGAGCCTGAGTACATTAGTATTTTCCTTTGACAGAAAGGCCCCACAGAGCCCTAATTGTCAAATGGTGATGCTGAGAATAAAGAGAAACTTTGCTCATTTTTGCACTTCTCCCTTACGTCAGAGACTAGTTAAATCTTCAGCGAATGTCTTAGTAGAGAATCTTTTCTGCATCCTAGTTGTAACCCATTCAGGGGAGAGCTTACTCACATAGAGACAAAATCATCGTTGATAACAGTTGAGGGAAACTTCAAATTTAATGTCAGTTTTCTATGACCATTTTTCTTCTTAGTTTCTTAAAAAAAAAATCAGTGACTTTTTTTGTACCAGGGATGAAACAATCTCGCACTTGCCAGGGAAGTGCTTATACCACTGAACTAAATCTCTAGGCCCAATCACTGTGAATTTTAGGCAGTCTGTTTAGCAGAGTACAAATAAGGTTAAATCCAAAGGGAAAAGATTGTAGCCAAAGAAGGAGAATTATCAAACACATTTCAGTGTCATGGCTGTCATGCTATCTTTACAAAGCTAAAAATCATATTACTCACTTAGCAATAAAGAAATTGTGAGTTTGGGAGTTAAATGTATTACAATATGAAAAAATGATGTGTTACATGTATGTATGCTGTGGGCAGTTCTTTTCTTTCCATTATTGTTGTCTAGTAAAAAGGACTTTTCTGATTTCTAATCATTTGGGATTTTGCTAGTTTGATCATAATATCATACTAAGTCAGTGTTTGAAAAATGCATCAGAATCCATCAGAATCGGACTCTCTTGTGCATGCAGTTTATTTAGAATCCTGCATTGCTTAACTTACAGGGTCTGCACATCTGGAAGGCATTTGTAAAAGCATTACAATTTGTTGGCTGTGCACTAGAAACTTTAAATAATACCAATTGAAATGAAATAGAGATAAGATGAGCAATGAACAGGTAAATCAGTCTCCTGATTTCCTTCCCTCCCCCCTTAAAGCAGACCAGGAATTAAGGCGTGAGCAAGTAACTTCTCTTCTCCAACTCTGCTGTGGGAAGATGAATCCAGGGCTCTTGCGCTGTCACTAGATTGTGACTGACTGATGTCTTCCCCCAAATGCTTCCACTAGGAGGTATCACTTTGTGCTTACATTGGTCCTTACCAATTAACCTTACCACTTACCCAGTGGAACTGCTGTTCTGAGTTACAGTTTTACTCTTTAAACTTAAGGATAATGAAAGACTTCAGATACAGGTAAATCAAAGACTTGTGAAGATATAGACAGACTGCCACCTGAGATGTTTTGCTCAGCTATATGGAGACACAGCTTGTTTACATTCTAGTGTTGCCAAAGCAAATTTACAGCACATGATCTACTACCTACTTGTAAATGTACTCCCAAGGAATGATGATGAGTTTTATAGATAGTGAAAGAAATTTTTATTTTTATTTCTTCCACAACACAATTTTGCTTAGAAAAAAATAAATTTTAAGTTTATAGCAAGACATGATTTGACTGGTCTCACAGCTCAAGGAATGTAAAATTATGTAGAACACATAGAAGAATCAAAAATACGCACTTTACCTATGTAATACACATCTCACATATCAGCCAGTCAACTCAGTCTTATCTCATGATATCCTCTGGTGACAAGATATTTTACCATAGGACGGAGTTCACTGAAAATGTTCTGTGAAATCATGTGCTTTGGAGAGATGCTTCTTTTCTTTTTGAAGCATAACTGACTGATACTGGGTAAGTTTGTTTCACCTGCCTATCATTTGGCAACAAATAGATTTTATTATGACCTGAGTAAAAGTAGAAATAATTTTCATAAACTCTATGTCCTATTATTTCCTTTAAATAGGGTCATGGATACGCAGAATAGGGAAAGCTAAAAACTGCTGTTACTGGATTATAAGTTCACAACATATGTTCTAAGTGCAGTGGGTTCAGGATGTAGTGAATTTTCACAATGATTTTTAAAGTCCTTTTTTCAGATGATTTACATGGATACAAGAGTTTTAGTTATAGGAATTCTCAACCATTTTTGTTTACCAACCAAACAGTTATTGCTGAGCCCTTATAATAGCTTCTTGTTTAATGGAATGACATTGCATACAACTTGGTAAAAATGAAAAGATGAGAGTAATAGAAAATATTCAAGCAAGTTGTGAGACCTATGTATATATAATTAGTTGTACATATAATTAGTTGTACTTAATCAATTCTTGTAAGTGGATTCTAAAAGAAGAAATTAAATTTAGTGTTAAATCCCATGTTACCATTGGTAAAATATTTCAGGCTAAAGATGTCTTTTCTACTTATTGTATTCATTTATGTATTTTATATATGAAAGGTATGAATTTTGCAAGAAGTCTAACACAGTGACGCCATTTGCTATGTTTTATTTTGCTACTAGCTTATTAAATACAACATGCAAATAATCAAAAAGAAGCATACATGACTTAGAATAAACTGTAGAAAAGTTTTACTATGCAAATAAGTAAATTCTTCCCACTTAAAGTACTTGTTTAGGCACATATGGCTTCATAAATTTTGTTTACTATTTTGTAAAGTTGCTGATCTCTAATTCTGACACCATTTTTCACAACACAAATTTGAACATAATAAGAGAATCTGGATCAAGGCAGCAAATATCCATATATATTCTATCCACAATTTAGTACAGTAATTTAACACTTAAACATTAGAAAATTTGGTTGATTCCATGCCAGGATTAAAAGGCTTTGCATATCTTTGAACAATACAGATACAGAAAACAACACATTGACAAACACAGCATTGAGTTTCATGTCTATTTGTGTGTGTGTTCTTTTGATGAAATAGGCCTGCTTTTCATCTTTTTTTAAAAAGTAGGAAATGTTTACAAAACATTTTCCCTCAGAATTTAAAATTAATGAAATTAATAAACAGCAATAAAAATGAAATAACTATGAAAATCTTACACACAAAAAAATAACCAAGAAGTATCACTCCAAGATATACCTCAGTATAATTGAATGAGTGGATATTAATTAACAGTGATTTCACTCAGTACACGTAGACATTCATACATATCATGTGGCAGGCTGCTCTGGGTTAGCCGGTTGCCATCCAAGCGCAAATGCTTGATTTTGGAGTAGGACAGTGGTCCCAGGATCTTACAGAAGCTCTTTACATCAAACTCTGGAAAATAAAGAATAGAAAATTTCATTTTTAAGAAAGTGGTTTGAAACATTCATTTTTTAAAAAATTCTTCAAGTCTGTTGTATTACTGAATAGGGTTTCTTCCCACTTAGAAAAGTCATTTACATGATAGATATTTGAATTAAGAATCATTATAAGCATTTTTTCAGAGGACTGACATGGTATAGCAATAGTCAGTAAGTAGTAACTTGTGTAGATCAGAATATTCCATGGATTTTTCAAGGGCCTAAGAAGAGATTCTAGAAAGTCATTTAACAAATGTGTCTTATTATCTAAGAACTCTTCAAAATATTTAATCTGACCCAATTCATCCTCTCACATGAAAAAACTTACTAGTGTACTGGGTTTTGTTTCTGAAAATAAAAGAGATTTAACTTGATGATTAATAAAATGTTTTCTTGCCAACCATACACCAAACAAATGAATCAAAACTCCAAGACAAAAAGAAATCATGTATATCCACCAGCTGAGCCAAGGTTTTTCTGTGGCTAACTAGTTATCACAAATGAAAATGTGATTCAATAGTAACTAACACTGTATTTTGTAAATCTAGATGCACACAGAAAACCTTATGCATGCCATGTCCATTTCAACTTAACTTTACTTAGTCCTTTTGCTTGTTATTGTATTTAATGTTCAAAATCTAGTTAACAATGGCTTCAGGGGAACCTCAGATGCTTACTTATACTCATCAGTCAAATTCTGTGCTCTGTCTATGGTACCTAGCTCTGATGAAGTCTGCAGAAATGGAAAGAAGATGGTCCTAGACCTATCAGTTTTTCTAACTCTGCTACCCTCAACTAAGTGACCTTTGAATACTTAATCATCCTGTCTGATATATATACCTACCTTAGTGTGTCGTGTGAAGTTTAATACATGTACACTATGTCAAGCAATACTAGAATACAAGATATTCAAAATAATATGGATGTCTTTATAATTTTTTTGTTTTCCAAAATCTTATTAAGAATTCCTGTCATTAGACTAATATTTAGAGTTGCAGGATTCAAAGTTTAAAAGTGCTTTTGATTCTACAGGTGGGTCCTTACCTGTAGGTTCCACATTGTAGATACAACAAGTCACAGACCAAAAATATTTGGAAAACACTGACTCAATTTTAAATATATAACATTTCATGTGGTCATTATTTCCTAAATGATATAGTATAACAACTAGAGTATATTTATATTGTCCTATTATGAGTAATCCAAACAAAATCTAAAGTACTATATGGGAGTATATGTCATTTTATACAAGGGACTTGCTATGTATTGATTTGGGTATCAATAAGTTGTTCTGGAACTAATCATTTAGATATTGGATGGCTACTGGGTAGTTCCTATATACTCCCTTGATTCAGATAATGAATGTACACATAAAGGGACTGATTTATATTGAATGTGCACAATTAGTATGTGTGATTATTACCAGCAAAGAACCTAAACTGAAGAGATCTATTCCAGGAAAAATGGCAGGGATGTATGACTATCAATAGTCAGGGAAGAGGAAAGGTAACTGTTATATTACTTTTCCAAGTGATCACTATGAGTGAGGCACTGTAGTTTCTCTTCAGCATGGCACTGAGAAGCTGTTAGCCTTTCTCTCACAAAGACGTCCCCACTGTGCCTCTCTGGCTCTTCCATCCTTCACTTCTGGTCTATGCCAGCCCAATGTGCTTGCATCTGCATTCTTCATCTTACTCATTTCAAAGAAAGCAGTTGCCTTGCTCCTATGACTAACCTCCACCCCCAGACCTCATGGATTTCTGCAGCTCTCAACCACCCTCAATCTTTGTATGTGTGTCATTTTGGCTGGACAGAATATCCTTCTACCTAACCACAAATTTTTATAATGTTGGATCATGTATTGCCACATAGTGAATTTCACACTGGAACCAACTACAGGACTTTATGTTAGCATGACTATGATTCTTATAACAATCAAACAGTACTAAATTTCATTTTGGTTATTTTCAAGATACAGCAAAGAGCATGATATTTGATTTGGCTATTGTGGTGTCCTCCATGAGAAAAATCTAACTCTACTAGGTGCTGAATAAAACTGTTGCAGAATTACGATGCAATCCTAAGGCACATTGTAATTTTTTCTTATACCATTGCCTTTACTCACCAGACAAAGATGTTTAATTCCAATAGCTTATGTTTAAAATGCAATTGTTTTCTGCATGAATCACTGATCCCTACCTGATTTTCAGTGAAGAAAAAAATCTTAGTGAATCATGATATTTTCTTGTGTCAAACTCTATGGAGACTAAAATGGGGAATGGTGGATTTAATCACCTACCTGAATCTGTATACTTAAATTGAAAAATGTCTCAGATTAGAAGAGTACATAGACAACTCAAGCAGAACGAATCGAAGTCTATTCAGAAGATACATGAAAAAACACAACATTGCAGCAAGAGAAGACAAGGAGAAACGAAATATCAAGTTAAAGGAAAGGTTGTATAAAAGAAACAAGACTCTGCAGTACAACTTTGAAAAGAAAAGGCAATCCTGAGCCTACATCATATACACTCCCTTCTCAATCTTCTCAGAGTTCTAATCAGAACATTGAAGGCCACACATACCATCACGGACATAAGGAAAGTAGATGATAGGTTAGTAGACTCAAGCAAAGATGTCAACCAAGACCATACAATATCGGGTGATGAGTGGGGGGGACTTAAATTCTCTGCAGCTGCACCTCTTCTCAAATTCTTTCTTCCTCCCTCAATCAAGAAGTGTAGTCTATGAATCATAGTGGTAAATGAGGTAATCAATAACAGATAAATATAATTAATAACATTAATCAACTCAAGATAAGAAATATGAAAAAATTTGACAATAAAATTGCATGATCTTCATAGTTCTTCATCTGGACTTTCCAAAGAAAGGCAAGAAAGAAGTAACTACATAAATCTAGAGTCACTCTATGTTTATGGTTAAGGGATTCCTCATCAACATTTTAACCCATTTCCCATTAAATAGAACCAAATGCACTATTTGTGTTGCACAATCTGGGCATTTAAAATGTGAGGATACATCAGTCAAACACAAGCATAACTTTCTACTTACTTTCAAGTTGATTGACCTCCAAGTAATAGTTTTCAAGGTTTTCACTAACAGTTGGTATACTTTTAAGCTTATTATAGGAGAGATCCAGCTCCAGCAGAGATGATATATTAAAAGTGTCTCCAGGTATCCCACTGTCAGCAAGTTCATTGTGAGATAAACGCAGGTATTGCAGCACACCAAAACGCTTGAAATACGCATCAGGAATATTTTTAATCTGATTATTGTCGAGGTAGAGAGTTAGAAGAGACATAGGGAGATCAGATGGAAGTTTGCTCAGCTGGTTGAAACTCAGGTCAAGGTATTCAAGTGACTTGAGACCTTTCAAAGCAGCTGAAATGGTTTCCTCTTTCAGCTGATTGTGCTGAAGGTGAACGAAAGTCAGGTTTACCAGTCCATCGAAGGATCCAAGCTTTGTAATCTTGTTGTTGGTGAGCTGCAGGTCCTGCAGAGATTTGGGAAGTGGACCCACAGACTCTGTCAGATTGTTGTAGTTTATATGCAGCCTCTTCAGTTGTTTCAGTTTAGAGAAAACTTTCCCCTTTATCTTGGAATTTTCTAGAAGGTTGTGATCTAGAATGAGCCACTGCAGATCAGTCACGTTCTCAAAGGCCTTTTCATCAATGTGATCGATCTGGTTGTTCCTAAGGTAAAGGTACTTGATGCCTGGTGGGATCATGGGCACACTTTTCAGCTTCAGCTCGTCGCAGTACATGGCGGTTGGGTAGCTCTCTGGGCAGTCACATTCTGGTGCGCAGTTTGGCGAGGAACGCAAAAAGGCAGGGTAGGCAAGGTAGTAATCGTAATCATAGTAATGCCCACTGGCACCACTGATCAATGCCAAGAAGAAAGTAAGTGCACCTAGATTCATTTTCAGTGAGTGCTCTGGATATTAAATAAAACGGAAATATAAATTAATGTAGAAATGACATACTTGCAGGAAAATGAAATTGCATTTGCAATGTTAAAGTCTATCATGCATTTTTTTTTTTATAGGTCTTCTGGTGCATCAGGAAAGAACGCCTTCACTGTCCTTTTAGTTTGTTGATTCATCAATGGATGAGCACTAGGCTGTGACTTTCTGAGGGCATCGGGTCTCAGGTCTGATGTCCTACATCTGCGCCCCCTTCTGGGCAAGCCAAACATAACTGGTCCACTCATTCTCTTCAAGTGCTTCCTTAACTAAATGCCTTCCTGGGAAAGGCGAGCCTTTCTGGGTGGTGCCTATCTCCTACTGAGTTACAACACTGCTGCAGAACATGTCTCAAAAGCAGAAGAGATGGAAATTAAAAGAACTTATAAATTGAGCTCTGTACCCTGCAATTTGGCATCAAAATGTCTCATTAAAAATCCTTACTGGGAAAATAGGCAGCCAGGGGTTTGTGCTGGATGAAAGCTATCTTGATAATGTACTGGGTGGAAGGGGAAAAGGGAGAGCATTCCTTCCAAAGTGTCTGGTTATTGTCTCCAAGGTTCTGAAGAAAGGGAACAGAATTCCCAGTGTGGCTGTGTATTCATGTTATTTCAAGTTTTGTACAACATTCCAAAGTTTTAAACACATTGCAAAACTGCATTCTGAAACTGATGTTTAGTAAATTTAGTACAGCAAGTATTTATTAGCAAGAGAAGGGTCAATTATTCTAAGAAAATTTAAATCTAGAAAGATAAAGGAATATATTTACCTAATTTTAGAGTTTTCTAAAGCAAACAAACAAAGTCAGTTCTCAATCTTTTTCATGCTAAAATTTCAGTTGGCATGGTTTACATATTTGGGTGTTTGAGGCCTCACAGAATGAAAAGGGAGATAGGAGGAACGTTTGTTGCTAATACTAGTTTTAGGGACTGCGTAGGAAAGTAAGAGAATATAACCGAGAATATAAATTTTAAACAATCTCTAATGGTTATGCTTTCAGGTAAACCTGTTTCTGAGACTCACTAAAGAATATTTCAAATGAGTGGAAGAAGTACAAGCTTAATGATTCAAGTGTAGGAAATTAGAATATAAGAATGAGCTTTTTATAAAAAAAAAAAGAATGAAGAGTTAGAGCTCTAGAAAAGAAATCAGCAATGTGAAGTGTATCTACTTTTCAGTAGACAACATAGAATATTATGTTCTCCCATGAGAAGAATAATGCAGGATTTAGGACCAGGAAATTTAGATATGTAACATTAGGGAGAACCAGGAATTTTAAGTATGTTTTCTTTGTTTTAACATGAAATTATAAGAAACTTTGTTTTAGAAACACTCAAAGAAAGATTTTAGAATCACTTCAGTTGCAAACATAAGATGTAGGATCTTAGGGTGTTATTCCCTGGGAATCTAATCAATCATTTAATTCATTTGACAGGGCTTGGACACAACTCTCATGTCTCACTAAAAAGAAGATGGTGACATAGCCCTAGGATTCTTTAGAAACGACAGTATGTTAGTGCTGTAAAGATCTGTGCTGATTCATTAATAAGTGCATACTTCATTTTAAATTAAGTTTATACCAAAGCAGACATGTTAACTAAAATCTTAGTGTTGGATTGTGACAAAAAATGTTTCTGTAGTTTTGGGGAATGTAAAAATTAGGGTTCTGAATTCAAAGAGAGTTTGTAATCATATAATGCCTCCACTATGAGGCAAAAACACACTGTACTATTCTCCATTTATTCACATACTTGTGGCTATAGAGGAAATGCTTTTTTCAAAAAGTAAATCATTTCCCAGAATTTCTTGAAAATGTCTCTTAGCATGCACAGAAAAACACCAAATCTTTAAGATTAATGAAATAGGAACAAGCAATTCATAAATGTTTTAGTCCCTTAGTTTCCATTTTATAAACACAGACTGCTTATTGTAACAAACTTTAAAAATATGTTCATTGCAAAATACTTTGAAAGCTGATTGAATTGATCTTTCTTTGCCACAATATTAGCTTCCAGCAATAGTAACATATCATTAAGGAGCATAAATAATAAACATTTTAATTTCCAAAATTTTAAACTGTATACAGTTTAATTTCTCAGTGTCTAGTACAACAATTTTTCTTATTCTAACCTTGAAACATTTTTATAACTTCCTTTGCCAACCAATATAGAATATACTGCATAAAATTTATCTGAAACATCAAATCATGGAAAGCACATTATCCAAAATGTGAAAACAAATGGTTGAATCTGTGAATGTGCTATTCAAGAGCAGTTGGCAAAGTTACTCTGGAACATTCTCTGTTCCTGTTACAATAAAAACTGCCCCAAACAGTCAGTATCCCCTAGGCTGAAGTTAAAATAGCACTTACCTTACTGTCTTGACACTGCTTTTGTTAATTCTTAAAGCAGATGCACTATGGACAAGAATCCACCAATATATGCTGTGAACTCTGTCAGGACGGAACTGACTGCCAGATTCTTAGTGATACAAGAGCTGTGCAGGGTGGGGGTGGGGGGGCAGCACAGTCACGCCAGTCTCTGAATGGAGTTATGTCATTGTGGGGCTCTTGTGGTGTGGCATGTGAATATTCTGCTCTCTAACGAAGTGCAGGTGGACGTGGTAAGCAAAGACAGCCCAGCTCATTCCCTATGGAATGGGAGAAAGATATGTTCTTAACGAGCTTAGCTTTTAACCAAGAACCGACTGTTGCTCCAAGTGAGGCATTGCAGAGTGAAAACGTTTCTCTTACAAATGGCTCATGTGGCTGTGGCAACAATTATGTGTGATTTGTTTAGCCAAGTATTACGTTCCTCTAAGGGTCCCATAAATCATGCCTGGAGCAAATAATGTCAGGAAAATGCAAATGAGAAAGCTAGGAGGAATTCAATCTTTTATGTCCATCAATTTGGAACCTATATTGATTTACTCAGACTAAATTTTTACCTTGAAGTTAACTTAGATTCCAAAAGCTGAGAAATGTTGATACAAATGATAAATATCAAAATTTCCATTTAAATTCTTACAATGAGGGAACTCTTCTCATGCTGCTCAGGTCTGGAACCAATCAGTAATATCTTGCCTGTTTCTTATTTTGTAGATTTCCCTTAGGAATTCACCCAAAAACTTACTTACAGATAGTATTTTACAACTTAATGCCAAGGAAACATAAAAGAGCAGAAAAAGATGCATACTAAAGAATATCGGAAGGCAATAATTTTTCATTCTATGATTGCATGCTAATGTTTTTTTTAAAGATGAAACTTATTTCAAGCACAGGATCTCCAGAAGGCCTGGTCTAATATATCATTCGTTATCAGTTTCTGTTGTATACATACAGAAAATAAGACATCTACTCAAATGCTAATTCTTTTTTTTTCTATCAACTGTATTCCTAGGACGTTCTGTCCCAAAATGTTCATGTCTTCTTCTTTATAATAGCTTTCAATTCAAGATGTGCTAACATAAATTGTCATATCCCAAGGTTTTTTCCCCTCTCCTAAAATAAATGTGTCACTTTTAGCAGGAGACTTGTGGAAAGCTTGTCTCTGTTTCTATGACTACTACAGAGTTTGCCTTAAAAGTCACTACTAGAATACATAGCTCATTTTGGTAATAGAGGAGTTAGAAAACGAGAGATTGTCCTCTAAAAAGTAACTCATGGAATTGTAAGATAATATATAGTCAGAAAATTTTACTATTATTTTTAAAGAAAGTTACTTAAAAATGTCAGTTCAAAAAGGAAATGAATAAGCAGAGAAGATAAGAATGAAAGACAAACTAACCAAATATGATTGTGTCATTGTTATAACAGAATTGAAGAAAATATTACATAAGCATAAACTTTGAATATATCAGATTTTACAAGCCTAGATCTTTGAAAAATTCTTACCCAAGTAAGTGGAAATCTATATTTTCATATTGCACGGATGTTGGGGGCTGACTGTGTTTCATCAGAATACAGATAGGCATGCTAACGTTTTCCTGCTCTCCCTGACAATGGATTCCCCTTCTCCTGACACCAGCAAGATGCTGAGGAACCTGTTACTTCTTTATGCACCTCATCTTGAATCCAGCGCTGAAGTTCTCAAAGCCCAAAATAAAAAAGTGAAAAACCAAGGTTTTGTGGGAAAGTAGAACAAATCCTGAACCTTCTCATGCAGTTTTCCAGCATTTTAAAAAGTGAGTAGTCCTGATACTTTAATTTCTTCATCTTTAAAACAAAATGCTAAGCTCATAGAAAACGAGCTCATACGAAAGCTCATGGGCATCAAAATTAAAAAAAAAAAAAACCTCCATATGTGTACATTGCCATTGGTATTCTACTTGCAAAATATGAGTGATCTGTGCATTTACCTACTTGATGCGGGAAGTAATTATTAGTTATTATTCATAGAGTGACAAGGGTAAAGAGTAAGAACGAATCTCACAGATCATCAAATCTCCGTGTGAGCCAATGAACAAGTTCCCTCAGCTCTGTTGCCCATATTTTGAGAACCTGAATTACTGTCCTGGCAGAATTCCAGCCAAATATCTACCATGCTGCTTCCCCTGGGTAAATGAATGGCGCAGGTCTCTTTTCCTGAAGTGTGTAGATAGGGTTGCATCACAGCATCTAACTGTGCAAAGTTATCTGAATAAGATAAGATACAATGATCGCTTTTTGGCAGCAGAGAAAAGCATTCTATTTTATTATTCTATACATTATGGTTTCAAACTCAGCCTCTTTCTTATTAAACATTTCATAAAAGCACATTGTTTTAGTACATTTTCATACTAAAGAAAAAAGTAGTATATTTGTACAATGCGTACAAGGTAAAGGAAAAAGATAATGTTATATTTCAGGCAATCACTACTCATTGCTGCTTTTTCTGAGTGTTGTGTAAAACTACAAACACAGACGCTTTGAGTGTCACATAATGCATAGTACAACTATTGCATGATACTTGTAGCTGCATGTCCATCTTACTATAACAGGGTAAATTATATATTCTATAAAATATCACTGAATGCTAACATTTACTATTGATTCATTTAACAATCAGAGATATGCTATGTAGAGTCAACAATTAGCATATTAAATATTTATTATCTCTTATAATTTATAAAGTATTGGCATAATTCTATTCTTTAAGTTAGCTGTGCCTCCTTTCAGTCACCTGATCTTTGAAGAGCCAAAAATCCTACCCTGGAGGAAAGATAGCCTCTTTAACAAATGGTGTTGGGAAAACACCATGCAGATGAAGATGAATCTATACATATATCCCTCATCATGTACTTAAACAAAACCTAAGCAGATAAAAGACTTGAACGTTAAAATAGAAACAGTTACAACTATCTCTTGAAAGATAAAATACATAAAACTATTAAAGTATTAGGAATAAAGATAGTTGAACAGAAACACAAATATACGAGGAAAAATATCAAGAATCACCACATAGAACTTTGTTAAATTTAACATCCCCTGGATAGCAAAGAAAACAAAAAATAGAATGAAGATAGGACCTACAGAATGGAAAAAGTACTTGCCAGCTACTTCTTTGATAGAAGACTAATATTTGAAATATAACTAAAAGATATTACACCTTCAAAAATAAAACTACCAATTGAAAAATGGGTAACTAAAGTGAATAAATGCATCTCAGAAAAACAAATAGAAGCAGCTAGTAAATATATGAGAAATGTTCAACATCACCAGCCATGAGAGAAATGAAAATTAAAACAATACTGAGATTCTGTCTTACAGCACAAAGAATGGCTATCATCAAGAAATCAAATAATGACAAATGCTGGATGGTTTCAGGGAGAAACAGACTTTTCTATACTGTTGGTGGAAAACCAAACTAGTACAGATACTATGGAAATCAGCATAGAGATTCCTCATCAAACTAAAAATAGAACTTCCACCTGACCTAGCTGTATCCCTTTTAGATATCATCCCCAAAGAGTTAAATACATCATATTACAATAATAAATGCCCGCCTATGTTTATAGGAGCACAATTTTTAATAGCTAAATCTTGGACATTGCCTACATGCACATCAATGATGAATAGATAAAGAAGAAGTAGCATTTATACAAAATGGATTGCTACTCTGCTTTCAAGAATTTATTCTGAGACAGTTGTATTTAAAAAATTTATTCTGAGACAGTTGTATTTGAGACGATCATTTTAACTAAAATATATATGACATATAGAATGGAACAGAGTCTAATCGGTCACGTGTACCCTTACACCGCTTTGGTTTGTTCTGTGTTTTTCTCTTTTTCCTCTTAAATAAAAAAAAAATAAAAATATAAAAAAGAACTATTGTGAAGATAACAAGATATACTGTGATACCTATTACTGTTATCCCGGTAACCTGCTGTGAAGTTCTGTACCAATTTCACTACACTGTCTCAGTTGCCTTTATTCTGTCTTGTTCTGTTGTATTTTACTACCTTCAAAATAAATTTTTTTAAAAATGCAAAAAAAAAATATATATATATATGACATATGAGACAGCCAGCAAGTATCATATAGTTTCTCTTACAAAGAGACATTCAAATTGTAAAGACCAAAATAAAGAATGGGCAATAGGAAATAGATCTGGTACAGGACTGATGAGGAAGGACTGATGAGACAGATGGAAGAGGAACTAAAGTAAAAGAAGCATAACAAAAGAATCAAAATATGTTGTATTCAGTTACCAGTTGCCTATGATTAATGTACTAATGAAAAACTTAAAATTAAAAAAAAATACTGGTTGTGTCTGATTAGTCTACTCTATTTCAATAGACACACCTAAATGGTTACTTTTTTCTATAGGCAGTTTCAAATCGGACAATAAAGGAATCAATTTTGACTTCTAATTTATTACTTCTGATTAATATTATTTTCATTGTCAGTATTAGCATTTGTTCAGCAATCAAATAATCCTTCATCTACATAGTGTTATGTTCATAATATGTATGCATTGAAAATCACCTATAGTTGCTCCATTTTGTTTGATATATTATAGGACATATATTTGAAACTTATTTGTAATATGATTTATTGTATATTTTCATCATTAGATTTGCACTGTAAAAATAACAAGCTGAAGCATTAGAGAGTAAACAAGGTTATAAGATTAAATGTGAAATAATTTACTGCCAAGTTCTGTCCAATACCATTTCCTAGAAATAATCACTAATCAGATTTTATTATTTCAGGTATTTCAGACAGGCACTACATATACACAGTAATTTCATTTCCCTTTTAAGGACAGCCTATATGACAGCCTATATGACAGCATTCAAATACTTTCACTGCAATGGGTAGACAGTCCCAGATCTAAGAATGTGTGACTGATTCATTCACATATGATTCATTCTCTCTCTCTCCTAATTTATATATTTTGTCATGTTAATAGTTTTACATCATGTTTCAAATAGTGAAGCAATGCCGTTATACTGCTGTTTCAAAAGTCACCTATGATTTTTTCAGTGGTGTTTCAGTGATTTCAAGAAATTTTGGTTTTTCTGTTACTTTATTATTGTAACAAATAATGTGT